AATGATTTTTATTGAGATGTCTCGATCAGTTGTTTCTTTGAACTGATCCTGAGTCTCTCTTCTGAGTCTCTCCTCTGATCCTGAGTCTCTCCTTCCTCTGATCCTGAGTCTCTCCTCTGAGTCTCTCCTCTGTTCCTGAGTCTCTCCTCTGTTCCCGAGTCTCTCCTCTGTTCCTGAGTCTCTCCTCTGATCCTGAGTCTCTCCTCTGATCCACCAGGTAGCGCCAGAGACCCGGGCCGTCATCGACTGGATGCAGCACATCCCGTTCGTCCTGAGTGCTAACCTCCACGGGGGGGAGCTGGTGGTCACGTATCCTTACGACATGACTATAGACTGGGCTCCAAGAGAGCACACGCCCACCGCCGACGAGAGCTTCTTCCGCTGGCTGGCCACCGCGTACGCCAGCACCAACAGGGTACCCCCCCCACCTGTCACTTTAACACATCTACAGGAAACAACAACAAGTAACTCACCTGTGTCTCGTATGTTAAAGATCACCTATCATGCAAAATGCACTACTTCCTGTCTTCTCTACATAAATATGTGTCCCCGGTGTGTCAGGAGTCCGAAAATACCACCTTGTGGTAAACCTGAGAGAGAGAAAGAGTTTGAGCTCCATCCTGTTTCAGAGAGAATCCTTGATGTGGTTTGGAACATGATATGGAGTTTCATCACGGCAGCATTTAGCTGAGTTTCTGCTGCTCGAATTTGTTTTAAAGCTACAGACCCAGAATCAGCACTTTAGTGACAGCTGAAATAGAGGGGGATGAGGCTATTGGGATTTTGAGCAAAACACTTCAGAGACATGTTTTTATCTGAGACCTATAATATATGCCTAAAAATAGCATGATAGGAGACCTTTAACTCATCTACAGGTAAAAACACCAAGTGTCCCGTATGTTTATTGATAATCAGGTGATGTCCAACCCGGACCGGAGGCCCTGCCACAACAAGGACTTTAGGAGAAACAACAACATCATCAACGGAGCCGACTGGCACAACGTACCAGGAAGTAAGAACGGGGGTTTTCAAGTAATCCAGAAAGTATTTAAAGAGGCCCTACCCTGCTATATGTGGTGCTCCCTCTCCTGGAGTGTGTTCTATGGGTGTTAGTGCATGTCAATGGTCTGCAGAGGTTAAAATATGTGGGTTCCCTCCAGATGGAGTTTCCCTCGGGTGACTAAATGTTATTTGATGTGAACGCACGTTGATTTTCTGACCGCTCATATTTTATATAGTTGATATTTCACCATAGATCAGCAACGGGAAAACAATAATTACCAAATGGCAGGATGTAGAAAGTGGTCAGTTACAGTCTGTAAGTTAAGTCTAAAATGAAATACGATAAGATGGAACTTTATTTATCTCTGTGGGGAAATTCAGGCGTTAATAGCAGGGTCAGAGTGAAAGACAGGATTCACACAAGGTTAAAAATAAAGGAAAATAGAATACAAATAGAAATAATAAAGTGATGAAGTAACTGTTGAAACAAGATATCACGCTAAAACGTTGATCATTTAAATAAACACCTACAATGAAACGCAGCCCCATCAAAGATAAACTAATCTCAGCGTCTGTGTTTTTAACTTTTGTATTATTTAGAATTGTTTTTCTATGTTCTCCTCTCAGGTATGAATGACTTCAGCTACCTGCACACAAACTGTTTTGCCGTGACGGTGGAGCTTTCCTGCGACAAGTTCCCTCACGTCAGCGAGCTGCCGGTGGAGTGGATCAACAACAAGGAGTCCCTGCTGGTCTTCATGGAGCAGGTGTGCCCCTCTTCCTCTAGCCTTCTTTTACTTTACTTAAAGTGGACCTATCATGCTATATTTGAATAATATAGAGTTCAATTTAACACTGCCTTCCATGCTCGGATTCAGTGAGAACAGCACCATCTGGTGGCCTGAAATATGTACTACAGCGTCTCCAGCGCTGTCGAACGGCAATGTCCGTGGCTGTCTCCTCCTGATTGGTGGAGTTGGCCCAATAGCCGTAGCGCCACTTCTGTGACATCACAGAAGTGTTCAAATCTGGATTAGTCTGTATCAGATCCGTTGCAGCCCCTTTTTAAGAGATTTGGGTACGGAGGAAAATAGAGAGGGTTGTGTTTTCTGACACTTGGTGAGTTCCCTGGAACACCGGGGACACATATTCATGTAGAAAAGACGTACAAAAGTGCATTTTGCATGATAGGTCCCCTTTAATGACCTGCAATCTGTGTTCTCCTCTCTGTCTCAGGTCCATCGGGGGATTAAAGGAGTCGTTCGGGACAGAGAGACGGAGGAGGGAATAGCAGACGCCATCATTAAAGTGGATGATATCGATCATCACATTAGATCAGGTACACGCTCTCACACACTCACACACATTACACACACAGTGTACAACAGAACACACACCAATGGACGAGGGGCTGCTCTTCCACATTGCTCTATACTGTTTGTAGCATTTCATCTCAGTTTGTCCTCACCATATCTCCATCTCTCTCCTCCTCCAGTTTCAGACGGTGACTTCTGGCGTCTTCTGAACCCTGGAGACTACAGAGTGACGGTCAGCGCTGAGGGATACCTCTCCTCCTCCAGGAGCTGCCAGGTGTCGTACGACTTCTACCCCACAATCTGTGACTTCAACCTCTCGAAGGTCCCCCCCACGCAGAGGCTCAGAGACAGACCTGCTGTGGACCTGCAGCTCCGCCTGAGAGAGCTGCGCTGAAGAAGCTCAGAGCCAACCACCAAGGCTCTCAACCAGAGGAGAACCGAGAACCAGAGGAGAACCATCAACAAGAGGAGAACCAAGGCCATCAACTACGAAGAGAACCATCAACCAGAGGAGAACCATCGACAAGAGGAGAACCAAGGCCATCAACTAGAGGAGAACCATCAACCAGAGGAGAACCATCAACAAGAGGAGAACCAAGGCCATCAACTAGAGGAGAACCATCAACCAGAGGAGAACCGAGAACCAGAGGAGAACCATCGACAAGAGGAGAACCAAGGCCATCAACTAGAGGAGAACCGAGAACCAGAGGAGAACCAAGGCTCTCAACCAGAGGAG